TTGCCTTTTGTGTTGTGAATTGCAGCCTCGTCATAACCAACTGCTTCATTAGCAATACAGGAAATGTAAATGGTCAGGATGCAATAATGTTTTTTTTTTAATTTTTATGACAGCAGTTTTACTTGTGACATGTGAGCATGTGCAGATCATCATTTCATTTAAAGCTACAGGTACAGAAACGGCTTATTTGAAGTTGGCTAAATTGAGGGGTATGTGGCCATGTCTGTTAGCTGAAACTTCAGCTCCAAACACTGCGAAGTTTTCCTGAAAGGATCATGGTTCAAACCTTTGTAAGGGACACTTTTTAAGCCTTTAAAAATCAGTAAATTATTTATAGACTTTTTTGGATTTGACTGGTAATTCCATGCTAGGAGTTTTTAAATCCCAGTGATCTTTGAAAATACATTCACAAAAAGCCACTTACAGCTGCTCCCTTATTTACAAGGATTTGCAACAGGTGCAGGAAAACAAAAAAACAAAATAAACCTAGCTCTAAGAGTGGCCAAGTCGACAGTGTGGTACATTCTTAAAAAGAATAAATGCTCCGACAAGCCCGGCAATGCCAAAATACATGAAAGACCACAGATGAAGTAAAATGGATGATGACAGAAACTTATATTTTGGCTAAGAAAAACAGCTTCACATCATCTAACCAAGTCAAGAGCACTCAAGTAGGTAGACTTGTCATCGTCTACAATGACCTTGACAAAGATGTCTTCCAGAATGGAAATACAGAGGATTCAAAACTATGTGCAAACCACTGGTTACTCTGAAGGACAAGAAAGTCAGATTAGACTTTGGCAGACAACATCTAAAAGAGTTCTTTGGAAGATTAAACCAAGATTAACTTGCACCAGAATGATGGGAAAGGAAATGCTGCAAGCCTGCACACTATCTGTGAGGCAAAACCAAAAAAAGGTTAAAAACATTGTCTTTTTTCATGTAATTATACCCAAATCTGAGATATATAAATTATTATTTATTTATTTATTTATTTTTTATTTCTGGGTTTGTTTGTTTTTTGCAGAGTGATGGAAGAGAGCCCCCAGCACCACCTATTGACTAGCAGTGGAGCCAAACAAACAGCAAATGTACACCTCCTCTGACTGGAGTTGCACAGTAGCTGCAACCAGGACAGCACCATCTGTCTTTCTGTCAACATTCCCTCACATATCTTTTTCTTTCTTCTTCTGATGCTGTCGCAGACTTGTCTTTGATTTCTTATTACTAGAGTCCAACTGATCAATGAGGCCAGCACAACTATGATATTTAAAGGGGACCTATTATGCTCATGTCCAGCTCCAAAACTTATTTTACTCAATTAGTATGGCATGATTTAGAGTTTGAAATGATCATTTTTTAGGTTATACTTGTCCTGGTGCGGCTCCTTAGCTGGAGAGGTGTTAGCCCCTCCCTCTTTAAGTCAGCTTCATTCTTATTTGCTGCCATGCGCAGAATTTGAAATGAAGGTGGGTGTAGCTTCTATGCTTACAGTCAGAGCTGCAAGCCTGATATCAATTAAGGATTACTGCTTTCACTGACATCACAAAGGAGGAAGAGTAGAAAAAACTGAGCAACTTTGACCGTATTTAGTATGAGTATCCACCCATGTAAAAGCATATATGTGACACACATGGGGAAAATGGTGAAAAGCAAAATATGTCCTCTTAAAAACAGTTGCATTTCTCAATTTAAAAGATTTTATCCAGAGGAATGTGATAATAGCTGAACACAATCACATAAAAAATATAAAACCTGGTACGACACATGGCTTTTCATAGCAGAAGTACACACTCAACTGGCTTAAAAATATATATCGGTTGGATTTGCTTAAATGAGCAATCGCAGGCATCAGAGCTGGTCCCTAATCCCAGCTGTGATACCTGTGGATCTGCAGAGACTCAGATGCAAATCTATGATGAAGGAATGTGTCACATAATCGGGGAAGATGGGAGGGGGCAGTAGTAAAGAGTTCCTGTTAGGTCGTTAAATTGTTTTTCCGGTGCTTGAAATAATAAAGGGTGGAGGGTCCTTCAGTCTCTCTCAAACATTCCACACTTCTTAATTTATGAAGATAAAACTCTATACGGTGCCAGTAACCATGACATTTTGTATCATGTTTTAGTTTCATATTTAACCCTGCAGAATTTATTTGATAAGGTTATAGTCTCATTACAGTAACACAACAGAGGATTCTTAATGCAGTGAGTAAGTCTAGTGTGTTTACATTCAGGCCTTGGTGAGATACTCATCTGACTCAAGCAGGTAGTCAGCTCTGCTATATTGACTGTAAGGCTGTCCCTTTAAATAAGGTGGTGCAGCAGCACGTTTGAAGGACAAAATTGAAGTAAAGTCTGTAAAATGTGAGCAAAATATTTGATGCACACGCCAGAGAAAACAATTATTCACCTCCAGTAATACAGAGATGCTTGGCCTCATTTGACAAAATGAAACTATCTGCAGTTATATCATCATCGTATGTTAGGATGATTGTGTGTATTATTGTGCTTTAAAAGAAAGTTGTACTAGTAGCCAAAATAATACATTATTAGCACTTTTTTGATTCCTTTTGAAGGTCTTGTGTACAGATTAAGCTTTCTATAAGATGAACGCAATCAAAGTTTCTGCTTCACAACTTCTGTACTACGGTTTGTCAGTGGAAATTAATGAAACGTGCCAATGTGAGTTTTTAGTTTTGAATTATTTGTGTTGAAATAGCAATACTGAGGGGTCCTTTTATTATTTTCACTTTATTTGGGAATGATTTTTCATTTTCCACATTTTAATTGGGAACATTACCGATACTGGAGCCTTACCATGAATAAATATATAGCTCCCTCCTATTGTATTGACCCACACAAAGCAACAAAACCATTGAACCCACATATTTTCAGAACCATCTGCTGAGTGAGTCTGTTTGTGTTTTGTGAACATCTGTATAGTGTGTGGTTATTAAAGTGTATATGAGCCTTGGGATATATCCCAGGGTGTCTGTGATACCAGAAATTACATGCATTAATCTTAAAGTGGAAGAGTATTTGTTGAATGCACGGAGGGAGTTTTAAACACTCATCTGAATCTGGCTGCTCTTCATTATCAGCGAAAGTCCTCTGAGTTATGTTGTACTATGGCTTTCTAGGGTTGTTCTGCGAGGTCACGGGGAAGAGCTGAAAGATTGAAAATGCTGGGTCAATTGTATGGTATCAATGGGGAAGCCATGAGACTATTGAGATGATTGGTGGCATCACAGTAGACCTCAATTTACACTGTTACTGTTTAAGAGTAAAAGGGCTTCAACTATGCACTTTTCCTACAACAAAACAGAAAATAAAAAGACTTAAGTCTGAAGCTTGGCTGTGTTTTTGTGTGAAGCTGGCACATTTCCTTCTCATCAGATTTATAATTGATATATGCTTCGAGCCAGAGTAAGAATGTAACACTTAGTCTGTGCTGTACTGAAGCACAATTTTAACGTATTCAACAAAACCACTGATAGTCTTCTACTTGCTCAGCCACTTTTAATGTATTTGTTGCTGTAAAACGTTGCATCTGGATTGTAATAATCAAGCAATACAATTCGGAAATTATGGCTTATAGAGGAGGGGTGGAATTTTAGGCTTATTTTGCCACCAGATGAGCTGGACACTTTGCAGTCACTTTGAGTCCACCATGAACTCCTCAGTACAAGTATCCTAGAGTCAAATGTGAGGTCAGTCAACAGGCTGATGATCCCATGCGCAGCATCAAAGCTACAACAGAATGGCTGAAAAAGAAAAGAATCAAGGTGTTGCAGTGACCTTGTCAGAGTCTAGACCTCTACCTGACTGAAATGCAGTGAAGGGACCTCAAGAGAGCTGTGCATAAACAAATGCCCGTAAAACCTCAATGACTCAAGCTATACTGTAATAAACAGTGGGCCAAAATTTCTCAACAGTGATATGAGGGACTGATTAAATCATATAGAAAATCACTTCTTCCAGTTATTGCTGCTAAAAGTGATTCTTTAGTTTTTCACAGGACTGCATATTTGTATGTGCTTGTCATCCTTAAAGATTAGGCTCTCTCTAGTTAAGGTATTTTCAAAAGAAATTTTAACGCTGTTTTATGTGATTACTCCTCTTGATAATTAAATCACTTATACAAAAAAAAAAAAAAATACGGTCCTTATTAATATCAATTTGAGGCTAGACTGGGTAAATAAAGTAGATAACTTCTGACGTTACAGTATTTTTTCACATAAAATTCCTTCATTGTGTTTTTGCTATATAGCTCTCTGGTTGTGTGCAACCCCCCCTCCCTTACTGTAGGGAGACCTCTCTGTGTTGAATCATATCTGTTATTAACCTCTGTCTCTCTTCCACAGCATGTCTTTTATCCTGTCTTCCTTCTCTCACCCCAACCGGTCGCAGCAGATGGCCG